GGAGGCGGGAAGGGCGAAAGCGCTGACACACCCCTCCCTGCAAGGCGGAGGTGGGGCAGGCGAAAGCGCTGACACCTCCCCACCCCTGCAGACCCTCCAGACCTTGGCAGAGCGGAGGGGAGGGCGAAAAAGCTGACACACACACATACACACACACACACACACACACGCACGCACACACACACACACACACACACAAATGTGCAGAGCGGAACGGAGGGGCGAAAGCGCTGACCCCCCACCCCCGCCGGCAGAGCGGAGGCGAGAAAGGCGAAAGCGCTGACACCCACCCCCTTTGCAGAGCGGAGGCGGGGGGGGAGGGGGGCGAAAACGCTGACACACACACACACACACAGCAGAGTGAAGGTCAAGCGACGCTCAAGCTCACGAGTTTTTAAACTTACACGCTGGATCGGAGGATTTGCTTGGATTGTGGATCAGTTCATTACTGAATTGGTGACTGAATCTATCATCCTCTGGATAGTGCACTCTTCTACCTCTCACATTCCACCTACAACCCCACGGTCCTATCGTTTCCTTTTACTGCGCAGTCGATGTGCTCATCCTGAGACGCGATCTCCTCCTCCTCCTCCTCCTCCTCCTGTCATCCTCCTCCTCCTTGTTCCTCCCCTCCACCTCACGCCTCCGCCCTCCTCCTCCTCCTCCTCCCTCCGACTCCTTTCCTCCTTGTTCATCTCCTCACCCTCGCCCGCCTCCTCATCCTCCTCCTCCTCCTCCTCATCCTCAGCCTCCCTCTCCTCCTCCGCCTCCTCCTCCTCCTCCTCCTCCTCCTCCTCCTCCTCCTCCTCCTCCTCCACGCCACCTATCTCGGCATCGACTTCGGGTGCGGGAGGAGAGTGCGAGCCGCCAGGGTGCTGCGAGCGAAGAAACATCGGCTTATGAGTGTCAAAATACGACGGTTCACGAGGGCCACGAAGCAGTACGGGGCCATGACCAAGCTCCAGAGGCAAGGCGGCTTGCCCGCGGGTCTCTACGGGCACCAGGTCCACGGGCTCTTCGGCGAGCAGCTCACGAGGAGCAGACGCAGGCTGGCGCAGGCTTGTGCCTCGTCAGCGAGAGGACGATGTCTCACCACCGTCCTGGCGCTTAGGGCCCCAGGTGCTGATCCAGGAGTGCTATACCCGACCCAGACGGTGGACACCTGGCTCAAGATATGGCGCGACTGCCCCGAAGTCAGGGCGGGGGTCCGACGAGCGTGGCCCGCTATTGTACAGCAGATGCAGACAGTTCCAGTGCCAGCTCAGGTACGGCTCATCAAAGGCCCCACTGGGGCCATCATTCACACGTTGCTGAGGCTGGGCTGGACTCCACATGCTCCTGATACGTGGGCGTTTCAAGTCGGCCCTGATCACAGCGAGGAATGGCAGTTCCCAGATCATATCTACACGGAAATCCCCACGTGGACCGACACGATCACTTGCTGGACGACGTACGCCAGGCATGCCAGACCCAGCTCTGGACCCAGGCGGCCAAGCACTTCTGCGGCGGGGGGTTGGAGCAGGGAGTCGACAACTCCTCGTACATCCAGCTACTGAGACATCTGTCCCAGGTGCCCAACGGCAAGAGGTTGTGTGAGATCATGGTCATGGTTGCGTCAGGCGGGATCTGGAATAAGCAGAGGAAGAAGATGGAGCTCAAGAGATATCAGGACACGGACGTATGCGACCGATGCAACGACGAGGTCGAAACCCCACTACATCGATACTGGCAGTGCAGGTGTAACGCAGATGCCAAGCCCTACGTCGACTCCGAGGACTTGTGCATGCAGGCAGTCACGCAGTGCAACACTGCAGAGGCTTTCTGGCTGCGCGGGCTGCTCCCTGCGCACTGGACGGAGGTGAGCCCACCGCCGTCACAGGAGGCCTGGCAGTTCACTGGCGGCCATACGCTCGAGGCTGGAATTTTTGGACCAGGCTCGGCCGAGTGTCCTGTCTGGATTTTCGGCGACGCCAGCGGGGGCCCAGACAGTAGGTGCCCCAGGCTGCGGAGAGTTGGCCTAGCCATCACATGCTTCGAGCGCGTGGAGCCTGCCATCGTCCCCAGGGGCTCCATCTTTGGGCCGCTGAACGGACGGCGGCAGGTAGTGGCCAGGGGTGAGCTGAAGTGCTTACACCTGGCCCTCTGGGCCACCACGCAGTATCTCACTTGTGTCACTGATTTCGAGGATGTTGTCACTGGGTGGTACGAGCAAAGATACCTACAGCCCAGAGGTGCTGACGCCGACCTCTGGGCGGCCATCGGACAGCTGATGGCCCGCCGCCCGCCCCATCATGTGTCTGTCCTTTTCACGCATTCTCACCTCACGGCCAGCCAGATGGCAGCTGGCCAAGGCATCCGCCAGTTGATTATCGGTAATGCAGTCGTGGACGAGCTATCGGGTCTTGCCGCCGTCCAGGCACGCGTGCCCGAGGCAGAACGTTGCAGATTGTTGCTTATGAGCGCCGTGCGCGGCTCGTTCGTCTCAGGTTGCTGCGAGCTGCGGTGGACTGTCTGGCCAAGGAAAAGCAATTGGAGCGTGAGCGCGGTGGTGTGCTGCGCGGAGGCCCTAAGCTTCCCCCTCCCCCGCCTCCCCCCTCGGCTCCTACTGTTGCCGCTTTATTGTCTCGGCATCTGTTGTCCGACTGTAAAAAGAGATGCCTTCGGTGCCATGGCTCTGCGTCGCTGGCCACCATGAAAGAATGGCGTGCGACTCAGTGTCACAGTTCGGTGAACGTGAATGGGCTGATATACTCCCCTCCAGTCGGAGGGAGAATCCATGTCGGGGGGGTTGGCTGCACCAATCCCATCACCTCAACTTCCACCAGTCTCTGAATGTATGGTTCTGTGGCAAGTGTGGGGCGATAGCTGACAAGCAGCTATGTTCGCTTGCAAAGCCTTGCTCGGACACCCTCGGAGCCACGGGACGAGTGTATCTCAGGAGAATTCACGAAGGGCCCCCCCCCAAGGTCCTCAGCAAGGCCGAAAAGGCCCAGCGAGGCCGAGGGTAGCCCTGTCTTGGGAGTGGCATCGCCATTGGTTCCTATTCCTATTCCTATACTCCTCCTCCTCCTCCTCCTCTCCTCCTCCGTCATCTCCTCCTCATCTGCCTCCTCCTCCTCCTCCTCCTCCTCCTTTTTCCTCCTTTTTCCTCCTCCTCCTCCTTTTTCCTCCTCCTCCTCCTCCTCCTCCTTTTTCCTCCTCCTCCTCCTCCTCCTCCTCCTCCTTTTTCCTCCTCCCCCCTTTCCTCCAGCGCACGAGGTGCCCGCGGAACGGCCCCTGGCGAAGGGCCGCAGAAACCCAAACCCGGCAGACCTGTCCAGGGCACGGGGCGGCCACGAGGCGGCCGCGGGAGCCCGCCGGGCGGAAACAAAAAAAAAGAGGCGCGCCCACGGGCGGCCACCGGGCGGAACCACCACAACCGCTGGGCCGCGGGCGACCCGCAAAGGACCCAGGCGGCACGACGCGCCCACGGGCGGGCACCCGACGGCAGCCCACAGGCACTGGCCAGCGGGCGGAGCGCCCACGAGGCGCCCATGGGCGGGCACTGGGGCAGAGACTTGGTCGACTATAGGCGTAAGAGTGACCCTTCGCCGGAGTGACCTTTGGTGCGCGCTCGCTGGGGTCCCCCGATGGCCGCGCTCGTTGGGACATCAGCGTCTTGCGCGCTTGCGTTTGGCCTCCTCGCGCCCCCCCAAGAAGCCGCGCACCAAAGGTCACTCTTACCGAGGGTCACTCGTACGTGCAGCCGACTTGGAAGTGCGAGTCGCCCAGGCAGTTGAAGAACCGATGAGAAGCAAGAGCTCTTAGTGTAAGCAGAGCCACGGGAACTGTTGGCCCTCTCGGCGGACTTGTCGGGGCTGTCGTCAGAGTCTTTGGGTGCAGGTGTCCTCGAGGCTTTGGGGGGAAGCTCGGGGACCTGTTCGATCCGCCTTGGGTGCTATCTTGGGCGTCCAGGAGGCCGTGGGCACGGCCAGGTAGGCGCCTGGCCGCCCAGAAAGGCTCGGGGAGGGGGCGGGGGCACGCGGCGGGGGGCGGGGGCTTAGGGGGGGGGAAGCCTCAGACATTATCCTCGCGAAACACTCGAGTCGCAGGGGAGGGCGGAGCGGGGAGGGCCGCCTCAGCACCCGGGGGAAGCGGGCCTTGAGGCACCCGGGCCTTTTCCCACCAGGGCGAGGCCCTCGTCCCGGGCCGCCTCCTGACGGCCCCGGGGCCCGTGGCCCCCGAGGGCCCGAAGACGGCGAGGCGCTCCCGGCACGCTCCCAGGCGCTCCCAGCACGCTCCCGGGCGCTCCCAAGCGCTCCCAGGCGCTCCCAGGCGCTCCCAGGCGCTCCCAGGCCTCCGGGCCCGCTTCCCCCATGGCAACCGCCCATCCTCGAGCGGGCATGGGGGAGCGGCCCGTGCCGGCGGCGCGCTGCTGGCACCTCCGCGGCGGGAAGGGGCCACAGCTGGCCACCCGCGGCTGCCGCGCAGGAGAGGGGTCTCGAGAGGGGCGCGGGTTCCCGGGGCCGGTCTGCCGGGTTGCGGCCCTCCCGGGGCCCCAGGAGCGCCAGGAAACGACTCGGGGATACGGCCGCTTCGGCGCCTCATCCTCCCCCTCATCGCCGTGTCCTTACAGCCAACAAGCCATGACAAGGAACACACTGCTTGCCTCCAGGGTGCCTCGTTTCCACCGGGACCCGTTTCTCGAAGAAGAATGAGAAGAAGAAGAAGAAGAAGAAGAAGAAGAAAAGGAAAAAGAGGAAGAATAAGCATAAGAACAAAAAGAAACGGCGTAAACATAAATTGTTGGCGCTCAGCGCGGATTTCTTGAATCTACGCAGAGCGCCAAAATCATATGTTAATGTCGTTGTTTGTCCCGCTAGTCTCCTGTAATTCTATTTCGGAGAAATTTTCAGCGAGTTGCTGTTCGGAAGCTCCTGCCCGACAGCACTCGGCACTGCACCACGCCCCGACGTGCCAGGGGGACACGGTGGCGGATGAAGGAGGCGATCGACAACGGCATGTTCATGATCGGGACCAACGATTCGAAGCTCATCTGCACCCTGGTCACGAGCTCCCCGCGGGCGCGCGAGGAGACGGCCGAGGCGTACCAGCGGCTGTACGGCAAGTCCATCCAGGAGGCCGTCGCGGGCGACACCTCTGGCGGCTACGCCAGAGTGCTCGACGCGCTGCTGAAGCCCCGCGCTGAGTACATCTCGAAGGAGGAAGCACCGCATGAACACACACTGTCAGAGCTCCGCGCTGATTTCCTGGATCGGCGCTAATCACCCTCTGGCGGCGCATCCGGCGCCGCCCCTGGCGCGCTCCGCGCGCCAGGGAGGGGGGTTCAGCGCAAATCCAAAAATCTGCGCGGAACTCCGAAAGTTTATGGTTATGTCGTTGTTTCTGCCTCTGCACATCGCCGACAACATCAAAACGGCCTGGCGCCATGGCATCAACACCGACGAGATGGCGCTGTGCAGGCTCCTGCTGTACAGGTCAAAGCCGACTCTGGTCGACATCATGGACGCTTACGAGAAGAAGTACGGCACACCTTTGCTGGACGAAGTTGCCTCCAGGACGAGCGGATGGTTCAAGAGCACGCTCACGTACATTTTGCAGGAGTCGAAAGAAGAAAAACGCCATCAACATGGGGGGGGCCAGCGCGGATCCAAGAAATCCGCACGGAGCGCCACAAGTTTATGTTGATGCCGTTTTCTCTTCTTCTAAGGAGGCACGCACGTGCGACCTCCGTCTGGCAAAGCGCCGCCTCGAGTACGTCACCGACGTGGACAACTTCATGAGCAAGATCTTCTCGCCCGAAATCCGAAGGGCAAACCGCCGCACGGACGTGAGTTTTCGGAGGCCCGTGCGGCCCTCGTGGCCCGGCGCCGGGCCTCCCCGACGGCGCCCCCAGCGCCGCCCACGGGCGCGCTCCGTGCGCCAGGGCATGGGGGCCCGGCGCCGACCCGAGACATCGGCGCGGACCTCCCGAAGTGAGAGTCATGTCAGTGCTGTGTTTTGCTCTTCTGCCCATGTTGCCGCGCAAGCTGGCGCAGGCCGTCGACGACCTCTTCGGCTGCTGGAACGCCGCGCTGTTCCTGAGGACCGAGCTCAGCCAAGAGCTTCGCATCACGGCGAAGGAGATCCTGAAGTCGATGAAGGGCATAGGCACCGACGAGGAGCTTCTGGTGCGGGAGCTCTACAACCTGCCGCCCCAGTTCCGCGCCCAGATGCGCCAGGTGTTCAAGGACACGTGCTGCACGGGCTCGCAGACCATCGAATCATGGATCGAGGGTGACACGAGGGCAGATTTCTCTGGGTTCCGAAAGCTGTGCCTGGAGCTCACGAAGACACCTTACGAGAGCGACGCGGACGCTCTCCGCGAGTCGATGGTGGGAATGGGCACCGACGACTCGCTCCTGCAGCGCACCCTGGTGCTGCGCCCGGCAATAGATATGCCGAAAGTCAAGGCGATGTACACGGAGAGGGACCCCAAGAAGGGCGAGCTCAGAAAGGCGATCGAGGGCGATACCAGCTACAACCTGAAGAAGACTCTGGTCGCTTTTACAGACCCGGCGGAGTTCATCGCGGAGCAGCTGAACGAGGCGGTGAAGGTGTGGTACGGCACGGACGACTCCAAGCTGATCCGCTTGGTGAGCGGACTTCGGCGCAACGAGAAAGCCAAGGAAATCCTCCAGCGTTACGAGGACTTGGACACAACAGGAGTCTGCCGTGCGCTCATCGAGGAGCTCAAGCACGAGCTCGGCGGCCCTTCGCTGTCCGAAGTGAAGGAGGCGTACTTGCGAAATTACGGAGTCAGCCTCGAGGATGCGATCGCTGGCGACACTTCCTTCGACTATAAGAATCTGCTTCTCGCCCTCGTGGAGGACCAGGGCAAGCGCGACGCAAGATATGTTTACGAGGCAATCCGGAATGATGGCATGCCCTTCGGTCTTGGCACCAACGACTCGAAGCTCATCGCAATGCTTGTCTTGCGCACGCGCCACGAACGGGCGGAGATCGTGAAGAACTACCCCGAGCTCTACGATAAGTCGGTCGAGGATGCGATAAAGGGCGACACCATGGGGTGGTACGAAGAGACGCTGCTCTCGCTACTGCGGCCCTTAGGCGAAGCCTTGGCGGTCTCGTGCAATAAGGCCATGAAGGGCATTGGGACCGATGAGGCGGCGTTGATTCGCATTCTGTGCTTCCACACGAAGAACGAGCTGAGGGAGGCACAGCGGATCTACGAGGAAAAGTACGGGACGTCTCTCGCGGATGCCGTGGCCTCCGAAACAAGCGGTTGGTTCGCCAAAGGATTGGCCTACATCCTCACGCAGGCCATGGTGGACGATATCCTCGTCGACGAGAGCCGCTGCCTGACTCGCAAGGACGTCAGCGCCAAGGCGAAGGATTTGGAGAAAGCAGGTGCGAGCGAGGCTAGTTAATTTTGTTGTGAAAGCTCGTGAGGGCTTTGAGTGATTATCGAGGACGCCTACGGCAAACCACCGCCGCCCCTGCCTTCTCAAATGCCAGCGTGGCCAACCGTAGGGCCAAAGGCTGGCCAAGCTATTGAACTTTGTGTTCCCACAGCCGTCGTGGAAACCCTTGAAGAACATGGAGGAGCAAGAGAAAAGAGAGAGGGAGAGAGAAAAAACTAAAAGAAGAAAGAAGGAAAGAGGAAAGGAGAGGGAGGATAATGAGGGCGAGGAGGAAGTTGAGGAGGAGGACGAAGGGGAGGAGGAGGAGGAGGGGGAGGAGGAGGACGAAGGGGAGGAGGAGGAGGAAGAGGAGGAGGAGGAGGAGGCCTCTTGGGGCTCTCTTGGGGCCTCCTCGGGGATTTCTGGGGACCCTGGGAGCATCGGAGGGGCATCTTGGAGGCCTCCGGCGGGCCTCTCCGCGGCCTCTGGGGGCGTCTGGGCGGCCTCTTGGGCCGTCCTAAGTCTCTTTTGGCCTGTGTGACGCTTTCGGAGGTCATCTTGGGGGTTGCTCTCAGGCCCTCTTGGGGCGTTCTTAGGGCGTTGTAGGGCCGTTGGAGGATGTAGAGTGGGCAGTCTTGGGGCTATGAGGGTGCCGTCTTGGGGAACTCTTTGGCCTTCTTGGGGCCCTGTGACCACCCCCGCCCCATGTCTTTTTGGAAGAGCCTGTGTGGCTAAACGTTGGGAGGAGGAGGAGGAAGGAGAGGAGGAGGAGGAGGAGGAGGAGGAGGAGGAGGAGGAGGACCAGTGCAAACACCAGATCCATCAAAGATGCTGGAATACACCCTCCCTCCAAGCGCCCTCTTCATATGCGATTTCGGTGGGGGAAGGTGCCCCTTTGGGGCCAACCGCGTGGAAAGCTTGGGGCGTGCCAGAACGCCATCTTCAGGACTTCAACGCCACGAGTCACAGCCTGGCTGCTGCGCCTTGTCGGTCCTGAATCGTGGCAGAACACCATGCCTGGGGCTTCAACACCGCGAGTCATCGCAACGGTTTCGCCTTGGCAGTCCTGAGTCACCCCAGAACGCCATTTCGGGCACGTCAACCGAGAGAAATGATTCTTGCATATTCGTAAAGAGCATGTGCGCGGCAAGAGATCGAGAACCACGTTTTGAAAAGGAACCGCACTCAATCCGTGAAGCTCTTGCAACTTGTTCAAACGAATGTGCGCGGCGCTAAGGCATTCGCCCTCAATCCGTGACACTTTGGCAAATGTGTTTCCACGAATGCGCGCGGCGTTAAGGCGAGAGCCACAGTTTGAAAACGACATGTCCTCAATCCGCGAAGTTCTTGCACATGTTTGAAGCGAATGTGCGCGGCGCGAAGGCGAGAGCCACATGTTGAAAACCACCCGCCCTCAATCTGAGAAGCTCTTCCTATTTACTCAAACGAATGTGCGCGGCGCTAGGACACGAGCCACATGTTGAAAACCACCCGCCATCAATCCGTGAAACGATGGCAAATGTTTAAAACGAATTGTGCGCGGCGCGAAGGCGAGAGTCACATTTTGAAAACGACCTGTCCTCAATCCGCGAAGCTCTTGGAAATGTTTAAACCACCTGTCATCAATCCGCGAAGCTCTTGCACATGTTTGAAGCGAATGTGCGCGGCGCTAAGGCGAGGGCCGCAGTTTGGAAACGACCTGTCCTCAATCCGCGAAGCTTTTGCAAATGTTTGAAGCGAATGTGCGCGGCGCTAGGGCGAGGGCCACATTTGGAAAAACCACCCGCCCAAGGAAGTACCAGGCAAAACGCCCGGCCCGCCATTCGGATGGGACTCGGGGTGCGACAGGAAGATGCTAGTCATCAGGAAAAAGAATGAAGCAGGAGGAGGAGGAGGAGGAGGAGGAGGAGGAGGAGGAGCAGCAGCAGGACGAGGAGGAGGAGCCGGAGGAGGAGGAGGAAAAGGAGAAGAAGAGGAACGAGGAGGAGGAGGAGCAGGACGAGGAGGAGGAGGAGGAGGAGAAGGAGGAGGAGGAGGAGAGTAGGACGAGGGAGGAGGAGGAGGAGGAGGGAGGAGGAGGAGGAGGAGGAGCAGGAGGAGGAGGAGGAGGAGGAGGAGGAGACGGAGCCTCTTTGGGCCTCCTGCGGGGTTCCCGGGGGCCTCTTGAGGCCGCTGTTGGACGCTTCGAGGCCGTCTCGGAGGTTTACGAGGCCCTCTTGAAGCCGTTTCTGGGGCCTCTTGGGCCTTTGGGGGACCTCTTGGCCAGTCGTGGGGCCCTCTCGGGCGCTCCTGGTGCCGTTTTGGACTTGAGCTTGGCCTCTCGGGGGCCCGCTGGGGGGGGGGAGGGGGCATCTTGGAAAGTGTAGGGGCCGTCTTAAACCTTGTTGGGGCCATCTTGGGCCGTCTGGGATTCATCGTGGGACCATCTTGGGCTCTCTTGGGGCCATCTCGGCCGTCTTGGAGACGTCATGGGACCGCTTTGGAGACTATCCTGCGCCAGACTTGCACACTTTGAGCCGACGTTTCTTGACTTCTAGTTTCTCCGGTGCCTTTGGGGTCCGCGCGGGTGGCCAGCGGGATGCCGCCGAGACCCCATTGGGCATTTCTTGGACGAGCCCAAAGGGTCAGTGGCATCCCGCCAATCCTGCCACCGTGCCTCGGCTGTGGGACAGGGCGCGGCGGGCACGACGGCAGACCACCGCTGATTCGCAGCCGTGCCGCCGGCACTGCTGCTGGCTCCTCGGCTCTGAGCCTCTCGGGGGCCCTCTCGGCACGGGTCCCCGATCGTGCTCCCCGGGTCTCTTGGCTCGCCCCCCGCGGGGGGCCCCACAGGGGGCCCCCGAGAGGGCCCCACGGAGGCCCCTGCGGGGCCTCCCTGGACGGAAGGGCTCTCCCGGCCACGTTCCCCGGGGTCCGCTGCGGCGCCCCCCTCCGCGGCCCGCCGTCCGGGGAGGGGGGGGGGGTCCTCTCGTGCTCCTCTGGGGGACCTCGGGGGCCATCGCGGGGGCCTCCTGGAACGCCCTGGGCTCCCTGGAGGCCCACCACCACCACCCACCAAGCCACCCCGACCCAACCCGAAGGCCCCCAATTCTGCCCTCCATTCCCAGTGGGGGGGGCGGCGGGGAACATTGAAACTGCACACACGGAACCCGTACACCCCCCAACCCGAAATCGGGCTCTTCGGGTTGGGTTGGGGTCGTCCGGTAGGTCACCCAAAAAACACGGAAGGCAGGACGTGTTCTGAGCAATGAGTTCAGTGAAGGCATGCTGTGTTGCCTTGAAGACATCTTCGATTGCCTTCAGAGAACGAACAAGCATGCCTTCCAAAATGGTTGCCTTCTGATCTTTTGTCCCAAGGCCCACGGGGCAAGAACGGCACGGCCACGCCAAGCACTGGCATGCACTCCCTGCGGTCCAGGGGCCTCCTGGACCGGACCCCTCTGGGGCCCCCCCCGGGTGCCGCAAGGGAACCCCGAGACCCCAGGGTGGCCCCTGGCACCATCTGGGGGCGTGCTCGGGGGCCTGAATCCCTACAATCAACTCGCCTAGTTGGGACGCGCGCCTTCATCCAGGGTGCCCTTGTGTCCTTGCCTCTACGGCCGCCCTCTGCCGTGTTCCAGGAGCCATCCGCCACCCCAACAATCCCAGCTTCGGTCTACAGGGGCCTTGCGTCCTAACCACCCGTCCTCAGTACACGTTTTGGCTGTAACCACGCTCCTGGGTTTGGGGAGAAGCCACGCGGAGAGCCCATGAAGGCCTTGGCGGCGCCCAAGCGCCCCCAAAGGCGCCCGGACGTCAAGGGTCCGCAGCCCACATCTCGAGCACCTGAATACCAAGGGCAATCGATGACGCAGGGGCAGTCCACTCCACTCCACTCCGTGCCAGAGGCATGTTAGCGGGTTATTGCCGTCTTGCATTCGACCAGGCGATTTGCCGCAGTGCGCTCACCAGTAGTAGATTCAGCACTTGCTCATCTGAGACCCTTGCGCGTGAGCGAGCCGACAATTTTGTTGGGCATAAGGCTGTTTTTAACTTGTCCGATCATGTGTTGGGGAGGAGCCGGTGAAGCACCACGGGGATCCTGGACGGGAGCGGGCGAAGGCTCCGTGGAAGGCCCACCCGTCCGCCGACGGCGTGCCAAAGAGATGCCGACACGAGGCGGACCTGGCCGACGTGTCTGCAGCACGATGCGGCGGGCGCTCTCCCCGGAGGGCGCCGGCCACACGCCTGCACCGGTGCTGGCCAGGCCCACCGTGGGCCTAGGATGGGCGTGTACGCCCCCTGGCTTGGCGAGGAGGGCATCTGTGATCCCGGGCTGCTTCCCCCCCCCCCCCAATGCGTGTGGCGTCGAGCCCCCCCCCCCCCGCTGGGTGGGCACGCCCGTGTGCCTCGCGAAGGCCTCGCGAATGGGATCGCTTTCCACCCCTGTGTGGTCGTGGTGTGGTGGAGGGTCGACATTCCCCTGCTTTCGCCGAGGGCTTCCCGAGACCAAGGTCGCAGGGCCTCGCGCATGGGATCGCTCCCCCCCCATGTGGTCATGGCCTTGTGGACGTGGCGTGGTGGAGGGTGGACGTCGTCGTCGTCGTCGCCAGCGTCGTCGTCGTTGTTGTCGTCATCTTCCAACGGCGTCAGCGTCGGCTTCGGCGTCGTCGGCTTCGGCTTCGGCGTCGGCGTCGGCGTCCTCGTCGTCGTCGTCGCCAGCGTCGCCGTCGTCGTCGTTGACGTCGTCTTCCATCGGCGTCAGCGTCGGCTTCGGCGTCAGCGGCGTCGGCGTCGGCGGCGTCGTCGTCTCCAGCGTCGTCCTCGTTGACGTCGTTTGGCGTCGTCGTCGTCGCCGCCGCCGCCGCCGTCGTCGTCGTCGTCGTCGTCGTCGTCGTCGTCATCGTCGTCGTCGTCACCAGCGTCATCGTCGTTGACGTCGTCTTCCGTCGGCGTCGGCGTCGTCGGCGTTGGCGTCGGCGTCGTCGTCGTCGTCGTCGTTGTCGGCATCGTCGTCGTAGTCGTCGTCCTCCTCCTCCTCCTCCTCC